AAATAAAAACGTGTAAATAACAATAGCTAAATTTCGTTATGCTCTCTCTCTCTCCTCTCTCTCTCTCTCTCTCTCTCTCTCTCTCTCTCTCTCTCTCTCTTTATCCATCTTCATTAGTCGAATAACGATCAATATCATCTGATGTAAACATTTGTTACAGAATTTTTAGTAAAACAACGAAACAATCTCTACTTGCTAACGAAAATACTATGAGCTAACAGAAGGGTTAATCTCCACTCGTGGTGTAAATCTAATCGAGTCCCTTTCCGAAGGCAAGAGCGCGGTAAAGATTGATTTCATAGCTGCACCTATATAGTTACTAACTATAGGTCCGTCACGAAAAGCCATTAACCTTGTGCTTCATAGAGCGGTGTAATTAACGCCGGGGCGAGCCATTCACCTGCTAATGCCTGCGCTAGAGCATAAAACCACAACGAGGAACTCATTCTAGCATCGCAATCGCGAGTTTAGGTCTCGCGAAACAATCATAGCCAATCGCGCCTTCGTTTCTCGACAGGCCATACAATCACGGGGAAACATGGTCGGTGATTGAGCAGGGCACACGATCGACGTATCGCGTTGGTAGCTTACCAGTGGCGTAACTAAGGTATGGTAGGTATGGCACGTGCCCTGTGCGCCACTTGAAGGGGGCGCCACTGAGCAGTTTCTATTAAAGTCAGACAAGGCGGTTGTGGTTAAGACAAATTAATAAAATTAGCAACAATGAAAAGTTTCGTCGATCCTCATTATCGATTGCTTCGCAGTCTTGTGCAGCACACATTCATTCACAGTGCAGTAGCCATATTATTATTTTAGTGAATGGACATAAACATGCACATTCACAAGTCCAGTTCGGATTACAAATTCTGCATAAAGCAAAGGTCAACAGATCGCAGACTGTAAGGAACAAACAACACAATGCCCGTGTAGGTCACGTTATTACAGTGTAACAATCAATCTTCGAAATGGTCCGATTACGAGACTCCGCACTAACATGAGTGTCAGAAGTGAAAGTTATTATGTCATGGGATCCTGTAGGATTCTCTATAGATTTAGTTGGGAATTAGCTTATATTATGTTTAATTATATAAATAAAATTATTTGTATTTTTATTATACATTAAATTAATTATTAGCATTTAATTTGATTGAAATGAAATGAATTCAATTAGAATTTAACCACCGCTATAGGTAACTAACTAACCGAGTCCCTACTTGCACTCTGTACCCAACACTATTTCCTTGCTCGTATCTTGTATGTCAGGCGACTAACGATTTTCTAACTACGGTCGGACACGTCGCAATTTAGGAACCATTGATGAGTTTGACCTCACAACGCGCATAGACCCTTGCGCAAACATGAAGTAGTAAAAAGCGCATAAGATAAGATAAGATAATCTAGAGTGCGGAGCATTTTAACTGACACACAAGAGAGGCTAATTCGATTCTCCTGCTTGTTAACTGAGCTATAAGATGGTTTGCGTTCTCATAACATTTCACACATCCAAAAATGGCGCGTGAAAGTGCTAGGTTGAGTTTACTAACGCACTGTTACTCCTATTTCTGTAATGTTACTTGCTATGCTCTAAGGGTTGGCTGACTAGATGACCGTATGGTCTTTTCGTCATCCCTAATTCATTGCACGTTATTAATATATTTTATTAAAAAATCCTTGTATCTGCTGATATTGAAAGTGATAAAATAAACTCTCTTATCTTATCTTATCTTATCTTATCTTATCTTATCTTATCTTATCTTATGCGCTTTTTACTACTTCATGTTTGCGCAAGGGTCTATGCGCGTTGTGAGGTCAAACTCATCAATGGTTCCTTGCGACGTGTCTGACCGTAGTTAGAAAATCGTTAGTCGCCTGACATACAAGATACGAGCAAGGAAATAGTGTTGGGTACAGACTGCAAGTGACACCCTGCACTCGAAAAGAATATTAGCCTAGTCAGTTAGACGTCATTAAGGACGCAGCACGATGCCACCTGTAGAATAGCCCGCCAGGTGATTATACCTGTGGCTTGATTGCGCTGTACTTGTTTCGTAGCGCCGTCCAAATGAATAGAAATGTGTTTGTAGCTACTAGCTGTGCGTTGATGTGTTGCATAACATCGTAACTAGGGGACAAAAATACGTTACATTCCAGAACGGCAACGCGAAAATACTTCGCGAAAAATTGTGTCTTAAATGCACCTTTAGTACTTAATTATCTACGAAACAATTCTGCAATATAAGAGCACGTAGGCCTGCTGATCGTCCAGCGAGACTTTCCCGTTATTGTATGGGAAAGATGATTCTACAATTAGCACCATACATTTCCTTAATTATTATAGCCGAACTTTCAGCGGGTAAAATTAAGGCCATATATCCGATGAGATGAGAAACGTGGGCGATAGAGCTGAATGGTATATTTCTCTGTATTGCACGAATTACTGCTCCGCGTGGGAAGAAGTTTTAATTGATGAAAAAACAAAACCAAACGCCATGTTCTTGCCTGGGGCTCAAAACAGCTTTAGGTACATAAATTGGCCACAGCTGCGCAACCCATATGCGCAAATCATTCATCAACGATGAACTTGTGTCCCACATACAGGTGGTAAGCACCGTCTTCCAACCGAGAGGCAGCGCTCACCCTACGGCGACAGGAACTTTCAGTTTTTCTATCCGGGTGCAAGTCGTCAATGTATCACTGTCACCGCCGCAGACGCCTAAATTGTAGCCACCACCCGTTCTTGGTTCCTGTTTTGCTCACGCGCCTACCGTTACTCTAACATGTGTTATTAACGGCCTTGAGCTAGAATCAACGGAATCGTCACTTACGCGACAACAAATCGTGATAACGGGGTTGACCTATGTGATAATTAGCTGGATTCCATGAACGACAGTAGCTCGCTGTCCACTCCCGTTCAACCATCACGATGCGTCTTCGCTGTTCGCTGTGTCAAGGACGTGACATACATGCGACGCAGGCATGCAGACTGTTGCGACGTGTTGTTCTGACTTTATGGCTGTTCCTCAGGGCTAGCTCGTATTACGAAACGTTGAGTCGCATATTATATTACCATCTTTCGCACGCTTGTATCCGCCAGACTTCCGCTTAAAAACGCGTGGGGAGTCAATGGAGAATTAATGCCGTGAGGCGCTACAATAGAGTCACCTACCACTTGGAAAAATATTGATTCGGGGATGAAAGTGCGAGTCAGTTTGGCACGATCATAATCTCGCAATACGTGAACGTAGTACGGGTAAAGTACTGCGGGAATAAGGTCCGATCGCACCAACTCTCCGCTGCGAGTTATTTGAAATTCTACTGGACAACATTTGTACTGTGCTCAGAATTGTCTTTTAATAGCTAGAGCGTCTCATCAACGTGAGTGGAATGCAACACAGCAGCCCTGGTCCAACTTCTAATTACACCGCTGACGGTCCAACATTTCCTGGTCACATCCTAAAATACTTCTCTGTAGTAGAATACCTCCTTCTCTGTTTGAAGCGGAACTCTGTCCTAATTAACGTTCAGCCATTCTTATTCTATTACAGGCACCATCGAACCATACAGAGATGAACGAATAGATAGATTGATGAATACACCATACTATGCTACGCGCTTTTTACGCAAGCGAGTGCTAACGCAGTATAAGCGCTGAAGCGAGGAATTTTCAGTATGACCAATCATGTCAGTCCAATTACACGACGCTGCGTGACGGCTATCCAAATTGCTTGGAATAACACAATATTATTTCGACGATGAGTGAGTAAATCCTTAAGACGTGTGTTTCTATAACCCGAGTTACCGTTGCCAAAACGCCATTTAAATGATCTTTGCAAGCCCACTGACATTTCACGCAGTGTGTTCGAACTTGCATTCAGGCACTTGCGTGAGCTAAGAACTTACTGTAAGGAGAGTTTCTCGCCAAATTCTGCGACAGTGCTGTGTTACAAAGTCTAACGGATGTAAGTTTTAGCGCATTATGCTGTTAACCCGCGAGAAAATCAGTTAACTATATTCTTCATTGCATTCTCTTTAAGAATCATTACCTATATCATTATCAGAAGTACATAAATAGAATACTCTATTATATGAATATTAATGAATATTAGTTAATAAATGAATAGAATACTCCATTAAAATAATGAATATTAATCAATAGGAGTGAGTGAATACTCTTATTCTCTTCTATATTCGTGTACTCCTGTTATTATTATCATCATTGTTTATTATTATTGTTATTATTATTACTATTATTATTATATTACATTTTTCGCTACTTCACGACAAAAAATCGCTGTCTGGAACTACTATTTCTACAAAATGACAACTGCTAAAGCAATCAGCTGCGTCACTACACCTAATCAGTCCCCACTGAGCCTCTCCTTATTTGGCAGAGCGGATACGCGTCAACAACAAAAAACGACGCATTTTCTCCTCGTGTTAAGATTCCAAGCCAATCAGCATTGTGAACAGCTAGGCCATCTTAGATCAGCACGTAAAAGCAAACTGGAAAAAACGCTTGAGTGGCGAACCTTCTAACGGCATGCAAACTGCAAATACTATCATGAAACTCGCGTTAACCACCTAGCACTAGGACAGTCATGCTTCACGAGTTTAAGTGGTCATATAAAAAGCAACGCCCGCTTGCGCGGCTTTGTCACGTATGGGGTTGGTGACAGCGACGGACGGACGGACTCGCGGGCTACTGTAAAGTAAGTTCTTATTTATTCACATCTCTGTAACGAATTAATGGAGCTACCCGGTGTTGCCTGGGTTCCTTTCGTGACCAAATGAAATAAGTGAACCATACGTGAATGTAGATGCGTTTAATGCGAGGCGTTTAGATAAATGAAATTGGTTGGTTACATATCGAATGTTACAGGAATACACGATATGTTTGGAGCGAACAAAAACAAATTGGTTGACAAGTTATATTTAAACAAAGTACAGTCAATTTGTTCAGGTTGATTTACAAACATGTTTTATTCACTCCTGGATATGTAAATATTGCTGGTAGACTATATTATGACGTACGTTTACCTATCGTATGGTACATAACTAAACGCTACATAAATATTGCGGGCAGGCTATATTAATAACGTACTATTATCTAGCGTATGTTACGGGACTAAAGAATATACAATTTACAGCAGGCAGAATAGGATGAATGATAGAAATAGCTTATTCTATCGTGTGCAGCTAATATTAATATAAACCAAAGATCACACGCAAGCTATAGTAGAACGGAGGTTGATAATAGTCGTTATTAGGGAGATAATTTTTATATCGTAAATTACTTATACCCGTGTTTAGAATATAATCAATCAGGTACCAGTCAGGAAGGAATTCTAAACATGGCGAAAATGTTAAAGGAAATTAATTTAATTAGTGCAATCAACGTTAAGCGAATGAAATCTGTTTTTTTATTGCAAGTGCACCAAAGCATTGCTATTTCAGGTCACTTGATCTGCATAAAGTACTACCATGCGGTACATGAGCAATGCGTCCCAGAAAAACGTTCGTAGCACGAAAATCCGTAACGTGAATCGCGTTTTCCTATTGCGTTCCATTAAATAATTGGAGATGCGTTATTTCCTATCGAATGAATATCTTTTAGCTAAACGATGTACTAGAATGATTATTACGAATGCAAGTAAAGATTTCTAAACGTAAAGCTGTATAATACTGGGAGGGACATGGCGTTCAAAATTAGAATTACTGATGGAGAGGGAGGGGAACTAGGGCCTACTACTAGCTAACGATAGCTTTCGTTATGACAACGATTGGCGAGTTGGGGTATTTTAAGCTCTGACCCGGAGGTCAACGATTGTGTAAATTTGGTTGCCGTTTACAGCGGATCTTCTCTCTGCATAGCTCTCTGTAGCAGCTGAGGTCATTGCAAACTACTCTTTGAATAAGTAAGATGCACCTGGAGTATATTGTACACAGGGGCGCTAATTTCAGAAATACACATTTCATAAGCAGTGCACGTATACGTATGTCAAACAGTCTAATGTGATAGCGGATCGAGTACAACGTGATATTTATTAGAAATAACTCCCCCGATATGTTGGCAGCTGGCTATATATTTGTTACATAAATTTTATTTTTCGGCGATTGTTGAGCGGAAAAAACGCATTCATTCTTTTTAAAATTACGCAAGGGCAAATTTTCGTTTCGTGTAACGAGTAAATTAAAGCGGTCATGTTTTACAAATTAGGCACGCGCGGAATTACGTAACCCGGGTTGTCGCAAAGTGGGATAGCACCGTACACGACTAGATTCTTTCTCAGAAAATTCAATAAGTATCTATCTCATTTCCAGAAACAAGAGCAACGTAGTATCACCCACGATCATCATGAGAGGCTTCCTCGCAGTTTTGGTAAGTTAGACGTAAAACTTTTGGGGGATGGGCGGGGAATGCATAAATCTTCGCAGGTGGCTGCCCAATATAACTTTGTAAAATATGTTTGTACAACATCCACGGGCGGAGGTTCGATACTAGTATATACATCAACTCTCATTTACTTAACCATACAGATACTGCTGGTGGCTGGATGTTCGTGCCAACCGGGACTCAGACAGCAACAGCAGCTTGGAGCTGGACAGTTTCGAGGGCAGTTTGCACGTGGCGGAGGCGCGCTTCTGCAAACCAACACGGGACCATTTACGCAGCAGGGAGGACAGTTTGTACAGCCTGGTGGTCAACTTCAACAAGATAGAAGACAATTTGTGCAGCCTGGGACACAATTTCAACAACCTGGAGGAGGGTTCCGAGGACAGTTGCTACAAAATGTAGGACAGCCACAGCCGAGAGCTGGACAATTTGGCCAGGCACCGCAGGGCAGAGGAGGAGGCATTAACCAATTTGTAAGAGGGCAAGCACAGACTTTGCCCCAACAACTGCTCCCGCGTAACACTCGAATTCAATTCGGCGCTAGGCAGCAAAATATAGACGAATTTTCAGCTGGTCAAGCGCAAAGAATTCCGCAAGGTCTAATACCAAGGCAAACGCAGCCTCAACTGGGTCAGCAGAGAGCCCTCACCGACCAATTTGTTCAGAATCAAGCACAAAGGTTGCCCGAGGTTCTCTTACCACGGAACAATAGGCAACGATTTGGCCAGCTGCAGCAGAATACCGCCCAATTTGTTGGTGGACAGGCGCAGCAAATTCCACAAACGTTGCTTCCTTCAGACCAATCACCACAGTTTGGACTTGGCCCTGGCCGTGGTGGTGGTAACACTGGTAACAACAATGGACAATCCCAGCAAGGATTTTTCAATATTCCAAATTTCTTCCTCCAGTCTCTCAATACTGCACAGATACCTGGCTCGGGTGCGCGGGAGCAACAGGCACGGGAGCAGCAGCGGCCACTTCCGCAAATCCGGCAAGGTGCCACTCCTCTGAGACTCAGACAAGAACAAGATGGTCAAAATAGACAATTTCTGCAGCAACCGATTCAAGGCCAGCAAACAAATTCCGGCTTTCGGTTTGCAAATCAATTCCCACCGCCAGGCAACGGCGGCCAGTTTGGACCACCACAAGGCGCACAACAGTTCCAGCCTAGGCAGGGACCGCGTGGGCAACAGCCTGGCTTTTTCCAACCCCCTCCTGATCAAGGCCAACAGCGAAATCAAAGATTCCAGTTTGGCAATCAATTCTCCGGCCCTCCAAACAACAATGACCAATTTGGACCTCAAGGCCCGCAACTGTTTTTAGCAAGACAAGGACCGTCAGGTCCAACTCCTGATATCCCATTGCCTACACTTCAACGACTTCCTGGTCCAATGACACAACAGTCTCTAACTCCCGAGCAGCAACTCGTGTCAGGGTTTAGCTCCGGCATAGCTGATGGCGTAGATACCTTCTTTGGCGGCGAATTCCTTGGTGTTGACACCACCTTTGACTTTGCTGGAGAGAGGAAGAGAATTGAGGCTTTACTACCCAATCAGACTCAGGGAGGGCCTAATGGACAACCAGGACCTGGTGGCCCAGGAGCACCAGGTGGTGGCGGCCCTGGCGGACCACCAGGTGGTGGCGGTTCGCCAACGAACACACAGGAATTTGATCAAGATTCCATCCCCGATGAAATTCTCGATAAGATTCCTCAACGATTCTCTATACCGATACGGGCGAGACAGAGAAGACTGAGAGAACAACGAGCACGAGGAGAAGACCCAAATCGCCAGCGGCAGCCACAACCACAACCACAACCGCAACCACAACCACGCCCACTGCCACAACCTCAGCCACGACCACCAACTCAGCCAGTGCAACCCCCGCCTAGGCCACTGCCACAACCTCAGCCACGACCACAGACTCAGCCAGTACAACAGCAGCGAGTTTTTATTCCAACACAACTGACGGTAAGCCAAAAAGAACGCGTGCGTGTATGATCGTATATATATATATATATATATATTTCTCAATTAATTAATCCATGCCGTGGCTACTGCTTAGCTTCAATATATATTATTAATACGTTTTCTGTGTTAGGGTGGGCCATCTGGTCAAGGGCAGCAAAACGTAGTTTTCATAAGATCACAAGGACAGCCACAGACCCAGCCAACGCGTCAGCCTCCCCCTGATTTAACTCAACGCGTGATTCTTCTTCCAAGGTAAGTTTTTTGGCTTCGGATCCCCTGGATATACTTATTCGCTTAATTGGGATTATTCTTTAATCCTGAGTTATTCAGTATATTTATCATAACAGTAGCAACAGTAGCAACACTAACTTGGCCACTGTGGACAGCTAGTAAGTGTGATGGTGATAATGGCGAGACTCTTGATGACTTACATGATGTAAATTTACTCTGCGTTTTGTAAATTTTCTTCTAATGAGATTTCATATGATTATTTTTGCTTACTTTTACCAACAGCGGTCAACAGCAAGATACGCAGCAGCAAAATCAGCAGAGAGTCCTATTCCTCCCACAGCGTCAACAACCAATACAACAAGGACAGCGGGTTTTTGTTATTCCTAATCCACAAGACGGACAGCAACAACAACAGTTTGTGCTCCCGCCTCTGCAGCAGCAGCAGCAGCAGCAGCAGCAGCAGCAGCAGCAGCAGCAGCAGCAACAACAACAACAACAACAGTCACGAGTGCAAACTCAGCCGACCCAGCAGCGCGTGTTCTTTGTCTCCCAACAACGCCAACCACCGCAACCACAGCCGCAACCACAACCACAACCACAGCCGCAACCATTACCACAGCCGCAACCATTACCATTTCGACGCCCGCAACCACAGCCATCCCCACAAATACTTGCTACCCAGCAGCAACGTTTTGGAGATAGGCCATTTAAACAGGTAAGAAGTGAGTCAGACCAATCGCCCAATTTTGAAAATGACAGACTTCCAGTAATGCCTCTTCCCCCGATGCCAAGTCAACAAGTAGATGTCAAGCGCCCTTTAACTCCTGAAGATGTAGCAAATGCAATAGCTAACCCAAAAAATCTTGGTATTCCCCCGCCACGAGGACCACGACCAGATAGCGATGGCGATGGAGTGCCGGATGGAAACGCTGAGGAAGATAGGGTAGCTGACTTGTTTGCTATGCTCAACCCCTTCACACTTAAGCAATCAACTAGTAGAGCTGTGTCCGCTTCTGAAGCGCTAACGAGCAAGGATCCGCGTATTCAGGCCGTCCGAAATATTCAACCATTCCCGAATCTCGATCAGCTAAAGTCGTTACGTTCAGGTAATGCAGGCGGGCTGACTCCACCGCCTTTAGAACTTCCCCAATTCGGTCTTTCGTTCCTCCGAGACCGAACAGCGGTGTCTCCACCCGAACTACCGCCTCTCAACATCGATCCTAGTGTGTCACGTCCTGCGCCGCTGCCGAACCTACGAGTACGGTCAACAGCAACAGGAGCAACAGGAGCAACAACAAGAGCAACACAGCGGCGGGAGGATATACCACAAGATGTTCAGCCGCGGACGCGTTTCCGCGGAGGCTTCGTTAGAACTGTGAACTTCGGCGACCAGGATCCTGTAGATCAGCAGCAACAGATAGTCCAACAACAAGACTTCCAGCAGGGCGTTTTCGTTGCTCCTCGGCAGCAAAATCAGCAGGAACAAGGCCAGCAGCAGGAACAAGGCCAGCAGCAGGAACAAGGCCAGCAGCAGGAACAAGGCCAGCAGCAGGAACAAGGCCAGCAGCAGGAACAAGGCCAGCAGCAGGAACAAGGCCAGCAGCAGGAACAAGGCCAGCAGCAGCAGCAGCAAGTACAGTTCATCCGCCTATCTTCGCAACCAAGTCAACAAGCTTCCGGACAGCGACAGATCATCCAACTGACGCCTGAGCAACAACAACTGTTGCAGCAACAGCTCCAGCAGCAACAAGAACAGGGCAATCAAAATGATAACCAACAGGAAGTGTTCATAATTCGGCGACAAAGTGCGACTATACGCTCCCGCTAAACATTCCTCGCGTTTCCCCCTCCACCAACCTACCCAGTCACGCGTAATATTCAGTCTGCCAGTCATCATGCTCAGTGTGACCACTATATTAACAGTAAGATTGTTGTATAAGGCCGATGTTTATATAAGCCGATGTCTCGTGCTCGGGCCTAGGTGGCCGTTGTCATCGTATGTTGACAACTAATAAACCTGGCAGATAAGTGGGATGTACGCCACAGGATACGATTCGCAAGTATACATATATATATATATATATATATATCAAGAGCTAATAAGTACCTATATTTACCTATATAAATAATCATATAAATACCTATATTTATTAGCTCTTGATATATATATATATATATATATATATATATATATATAAATATTAATGAAAGATACTGTACATGGGTCCTGATAATTTCGCATTACTCATGAATAAAACATGTATAAATCACGTATCGTTAACAGCAGTTTTCAGTATCTGTGATTTTTACAGTGACAATTAAAGTGTAATTAAATAAGTTAACCATGTAATAAAGTGTGAGTATCATTAGGACATTAACAAAAAATAGGCACAACGTACAAAAATCGGTGCCAAAAGAAAACCTATCCGTGAGTAATTATATATAACACTCGGGCCTGAATCGCGCGCAAGAGATGAACCAATAGATAAGATATCTATATTTTCGTTACGAGCTTATATAACAATAATTAATTAATACCCACCCTGTTAATTAGACAGAGCTATTATAGCGATGAGTCTCTATTATATACTGCAGTTGCTTTGTAGCCATGCCAACCGATTACTAGCGTAGATTTAAGGTTGCTCTTCATCTCTTGCAGAACTAAGGCCGCTAATCCGCAAGTCTGGTGCGCTAGGATGACGTCAGTGTACATATTGCTTGTCCAGGTGACCAATCCAGCGCAAAATCTGCAAAGTTCCTTCCGGCTTTCGTTCTTTCTCATTAATAATTGTATACGAGAGGAGTACATCCTAAATAAGAAAATGACTGGCTTAGCCTTTATCAACCAGCTTAGTGTCTCCATAGCACGCGTGCATATTTGGTGTATACATTTCAAAATGAAATATATGTTTATATATATATGTGTGTATGCGTGTTATCGGTTATTTTTCGCTGTATCTGCTGATCTGGATGTAGTAGGGATAGTCATGCTGTTGTGTCCGCGTGCAATTTGACTAAAATAAAAACGTGTAAATAACAATAGCTAAATTTCGTTATGCTCTCTCTCTCTCTCCCCTCTCTCTCTCTTTCTCTCTTCGTCTCATCTCTCTCTCTCTCTCTCTCTCTCTCTTTATCCCATCTTCATTAGTCGAATAACGATCAATATCCATCTGATGTAAACATTTGTTACAGAATTTTTAGTAAAACAACGAAACAATCTCTACTTGGCTAACGGAAATATACTATGAGCTAACAGCAGGTTAATCTCCACTCGTGGTAAATCTAATCGAGTCCCTTTCCGAAAGGCAAGAGCGCGGTAAAGATTGATTTCATAGCTGCACCTATAATAGTTACTAACTATAGTCCGTCACGAACAAAGCCATATACCTTGTGCTTCATAGAGCGGTGTAATTAACGCCGGGGCGAGCCATTCACGCTGCTAATGCCTGCGCTAGAGCATAAAACCACAACGAGGAACTCATTCTAGCATCGCAATCGCGAGTTTAGGTCTCGCGAAACAATCATAGCCAATCGCGCGTTCGTTTCTCGACAGGCCATACAATCACGGGGAAACGGTCGGTGATTGAGCAGGGCACACGATCGACGTATCGCGTTGGTAGCTTACCAGTGGCGTAACTAAGGTATGGTAGGTATGGCACGTGCCCTGTCGCCACTTGAAGGGGCGCCACTGAGCAGTTTCTATTAAAGTCAGACAAGGCGGTTGTGGTTAAGACAAATTAATAAAATTAGCAACAATGAAAAGTTTCGTCGATCCTCATTATCGATTGCTTCGCAGTCTGTGCAGCACACATTCATTCACAGTGCAGTAGCCAATATATTATTTTAGTGAATGGACATAAACATGTACATTCACAAGTCCAGTTCGGATAACAAATTCTGCGATAAAGCAAAGTCAACAGATCGCAGACTGTAAGAAACAAACAACACAAGGCCCGTGTAGGTCACGTTATTACAGTGTAACAATCAATCTTCGAAATGGTCCGATTACGAGAGCTCCGCACTAACATGAGTGTCAAGAAGTGAAAGTTAGTCAGTTATGTGGCCGAAAATTAACTCAAAAACCATTAGTTTATGTATAAAAATACTATTTCAAAGTGCTGGGAAATCGCACCTGGAGCCATTAAATTTTCAAATATTTTCTGGGGGAGAACCCCCAGACACCCCTTATATATTAGCTGCTTCGTGCTTAGCGGCGTTAGCGCGGGCGGCTTCGCCGCCCTATCCTTTGTTTCTATAGTATGAAAGTCCACAGCTGTAGCACTAAGAACCCCCCCCCCACACACACACACGATGGGTGTCAGATATTTGGACAGGGGCGCAATCTCAGTGCTTCTGAGCTTACCACATACACAAACGAACATCATGCGCATTCAAAATTGTCATACTGGGTACCCGAAAGTTCTCAACGACTCACAATCTCGACAAGCATTCGCTGGTGATTGTGACAGTCGTTGCAACGGATAACTGATGTGTACGATTACATAGCAACCGCGGCTATCACAAATCTATTTCTGCGTATGGCGTTTGTGGCGGCGAAAAAACATAGAGTGGACATTTTACCGTACATATTCTCTATAGATTTCCAATGCGACACTTTCACATATATTTCCCAGATAATCCTGGTAACTAACAATACACTTTCAACAATACAGTGTGTATTGTTGAACACCTTCTAACATAACACTGTGTATTGGAGTAGGTACCTATAGCAACTGTGTATTTAAATTCAATTTTATTTTCAATAAATTCAATAAAATCAATCAAATAATTTCAATAAATTCATTTAAATAAATGTCAATTTCAAGTTTACAAATCAAAAAGTAAACTAATTAAAAAGAAAAGGAAAAAAACGTTAGAAAGAAAAGTATTGTTAGAAGATGTTCAACAATACACAGTGTATTGTTGAAAGCTCATAGGTACCTACTACAATACACAGTGTATTGTTGAAAGCTCATAGGTACCTACTACAATACACAGTGTATTGCTGAAAGCTCATAGGTACCTACTACAATACACAGTGTATTGTTAGAAGGTGTTCAACAATACACAGTGTATTGTTGAAAGCTCTCTAACAATACACAGTGTGTTGTCAAATGCCTAAACATACAACACACTGAGTATTGTTAGTTACCAGGATTATCTGCAATTTCCAGTGATCTGGGGACCTATAAAGCTGAGTCAATGAGGAAGCATTACAACAATTATGATGTCGGTGTTGTTCGGTATACCCACTAGGTGGTCGTAAATAAAAAACCCGCGATCGAACACTTTTGCTTATGTTGAAGTATCATATATTGACGCACTCTTGTCGTTCGACTTATAGCGTTTCTGTATTATGTTGTTTACCTAAAGCACCAAGGTAACCGATCCATCGTATGTCAAATTGAGCTTGTTAATCGTGTTATCTAAATGCTATAGGCGTATTGGGTTAACATTTATAATAAATAGGTGGAAGCGATTTCTTGGCGAATTACTTTAAGATGATATACATGAACTACATATATTCGTACGCTACGGGTTGACACGTTTCCTCCATCATATAGGCTTATATATTGTAAAAAAATTCGGACCGAAAACGCTAATATTAAGCCTGTTTGTGTATATTAAGTTTGCGGTAATTGCGGTTCTAATTAAAATGTTGAGTGTAGTGTTGAACCATGGCAATTTTTTTATAAATTTAAACGCTTAATCAATTTAATTGCAATTATAGTTATATAACTTTATTATCTGTTAATTTTAAAATTATATTTCAAGTTTGGATAGACTATATTACCTGCATTCGCCGTATTCTTGAAAAACACAAAAACTACTACAATTTTTGACGACGCGTATTGATATTTATTATATATACCACGACGAGACATTTTTGCGTGATAACCATTTTTTTTTTAATTAGCTAGTTGCGAAAAAAATCATGAAAAGTTTGGAAGGCGGCCGTATTTATTAAATGGTAAGGCATGATTACTCACTGCTCGTTAACGAAGTGGCAGCAGATCGACTGGGAAATTGACGCGGCGTACGTTTTCCCGAGGACCTGCACAAAGCATCGTGCAAACAGAAAAACAGCGCGGAATTATTACGTGTTTGAGCTCAAAGCACACCACGTCCTTCAATTATTCCAGCTACAGTTATACAATTCGTCGAATATAGTTTTTCATTCTTTTCATTTTGATCAATAGTTCATACAGAGATGCCTGCTTATCACTCGATCCTTGCGTTTGCTCGCGTTTAAATTGTGCTGGAACTCGCATTCCTACCCGACTCAAATTCGTTTGGGCTAATTACTTTCATCTCATCGCCTATGATGAAAGGCAAGGATCGGGCGCGCTCACGTTATGAATGTGCGTTATATGACTACAGATACAAAAACGTACACGTGCTTATTATTTTTACGCAGTGGTATCTTTCACTAATTACGAGAGCAAGAGCCGTAGGCTAAGCAACTTCCTAGGGATGGATTTCATGACTAAACTGTGTAATGATGAGCAACGAGCGCAGCTCTTGATTGACGTCCATAGTGTGGTAGGGGTGGGTCTGAGACAAGGCTATTTCACGGCTATTTCAAGGCTATTTCACGGATAAGTGAACAAGAAAATCACGTTAGGGTTAAGATTATTATTACGATTATTAGCTAAGCTTATTTTTTAATTTTGCTCTAAAATTTAGGGGGCAGCTTGCCCTCTCCCCCAGATCGAGGCTACGGCCCTAGAGAGAGTATACGGTAGCGACCGTACTGACATAATCAGGAGTACATAACGGGAAGAATAGCGAATCTGAATTCATGTACTGCTGATATAATTCTTACGTGCATGTATGTATATCTACCATGCACCCTCTGTAACCACATTCATAGTTTTATATAGTTTTATATATAATTTATTTTAAGAAACTGCCGTATGTGGGTCATCGTGCTGTCTAAAAAATCGCGTACAATAGATTATTATATTTCTGACTACATACGGAATACAAATGAGCAAACATTTTCCTTAATTTGATTTACTACACGTCAATCAAAATATAGTCCTCGTGATTTAGCAAATGCGCATTGATTTTATTATTCCGATTATAGCTCTTTGTTCACCACTGAACTCAATTTATGATAATATTATAAATGTATTTATAAAACAAAATGTACACGGTTGCGCGTTGAATGAAGCCCTGACCGTTAGAACTAAATTAATCTGCATACGATTAATTTTACGCTGTATTCATTCTCGTTTAGTTTCTAACGCAACGTGTGCTGCATACAAATCGTGAACAGCGGGTTGTATATACGCAGCTTAAGGTTGATGTCAATACGCAACGGATTATAATAACGCCGTTTCTGTATGAAGCTATTGCTAATGCCGAAGCTGAAGCTATGCTAAAAACAGCGCGTTGCTTATTCTGACAATATGGAAACGTCCAGCTGTACCTGAAGACAACCGACTCGTTCGATGAACTACTGAGTCACGCCTCACTCGTCTATTTTTGACACGTCACTCGAGAGGAGTTTTCCGGCTTTGCTTTCCACCAATCACATTTCCTAGAACAGTAAACTAACACGTATTCACAGCAATTTAATAACGCCACATTTAGCCGGACTGATTTCGTACAGCTATGCTGAATTATTGTGTGAACGAGTATGCCCAGGTAGTGCATGTAAAATGAATGTGTCTAACCTATGGGCATATAGTTCAGCCATATTAGTATACAACTCGAATGAATGCAGGATATACATCTTGTTACATATCCTACTGCATGTACTTTGGTGGAAACCTAATACGAATACACAGCTATGTAATAACGCCTCATTTATCTAGAGCAATTTCATTGCTGTGTATAGAAAGCTTGCGTGACCGATGCGGCACTTGGGCTCTATTCAACATCTAGTACGACCGCCTTCTGTAAATTCAATAACACCGTGTACGAACCTTCACAAGGTACACGTATATGGTATGTGCAGAATAGTCTCCAATCTATAGATTATCGTTTTCTATGTAGCAAGCTTCAGAACTAGTCTAGAACTATATAGCATAGCTCGAATATAAATGGTTTGTGATAATCACGAAAGCCATTACGAAACTACACACTAATGGGAATTTCACAGAGTAAATAAAATTGAATTCAAAATACACATTACACGTATCACATCAAATATGGGCATATCAGATGTATCACAGAAGTCGACTTGTGCGTATAGTTCTAGCATGCCAAACCTGAGTGAATGGATCATGTCGCGTAGCCAAATATATATATATAACGAGTATATAGCGGACAATGTTGTGACATGGGGTAAAGTATGAACGGAAAGGCCTAACACCTGCGACGTATCTTTCAAAACAGGATATACAGAACCACAATATAGCTCATCAGGACACAGATCTCCTCATGTAGGCCTACAGACTCTAGAACTTGATGGATGATATGCCATGTTGCTAACAGTTGTCTATATTCTCTGTTATTATTATTATTGTTGTTATTTATATGGAGCATTGAATTATTAACCTGTCAAAAACATTCACGAATTCCTCAACAATTTCCGTGACTGACTTACTTAGCATTTAGCAGTTTCAAACGACATCAATGATTCCTCGAATTAAACGAATGTAATTATTTTTCTGGCAATTAGGATAAATACCTGAATCTTACACAAGAAAAAAAGCATCGGCATAGTTAAGAACACCGCCTAAATTAGGACCTCACGGCATTTTATGAATAACATTCTATCACACCTGAGTGTTTATATTACACTGTCATTCCTTGTGCCCACTGGCAGTTCCAACAAATCAGTAAAAATAAAAATAATGTATAATAAATCTTATTGCACCACTAATAACTCTCCTATCTGCGGTAAACAACTCCTCACTGCAAAAGAAAAGCCTAACGTCGGCGCGAATGCTGACTCTCTGCACTACGCTGCGTACTCTCCATACATAATCCGGGATGGGGGGGGGGCGTGATCCCGGAGATTATGTGCTTGTGCAACTGCCAGTGCTTGTGCCCGGTAAAATAATGAAGCCTATTAATATATAATCCTGGGTTAAAGGGGAATGGGATGCGAATTAGAAATATTCGTGATATTAATCTTGAGCCACATTGGGCCAGTGTAGCTAAAATCGAAACTTATATACAACATTTAGATTCTGCACAAATTTACGTCTCGTAACAAATATGAATTATCAACACCGACTTCATAACTCTAACTCTTAATGCTAACCCTAACCCAAACCCCAGCCCCAACCCAACCCCAACCCTATACCTAGCACTATCCCACTTCCTAACCCTAACCCTTATCCGTATCCGTACAGGGCTTCCGTACAGGGGGGGTGTACAGGTCTGAATGGGCTTCCTGGGGGGGGCCTGAATGGGCTTCCTGAATGGGCTTCCTGTACAGGGGGGGTGTACAGGTACAGAATCCGACCCCTAACCGTACAGGGGCGTGTACAGGGGGGGGGTGTCCAGGGGGTCCGAACACCCCCCTGCTCGCGCAGAAAACGCATCTAAGGAGGTCTAATTTCAAAAAATTTCTGGGGGAGGGCCCCCAAGACCCCCCTTCGCGTGCTCGCAAGTTTGGGTTACGGTTAGACCCCCCTGGTACAAATCCTGTACACGCCCCTGCCGTAACCCCAACCCTAACTCTATCTACCTTAAACCCTACACCTAACCACGACGCTAACCAAATCCTAGAACTATCCTTAGCCCAAAACCTAATACACTTAACGTACTAAGCCTAATACGATCTTAATCGCAAACACATCTCTGAAAACCAGGATCGTAAAGTAGGATTAAATCACATTATAATATCATCGTTCGATTTGATTGATTACCAATACATACGCTGCATCTTACCTGTGTAGTTCGACGAGATGCCTTCGTTAAACGCTCTTAAATCCTGTGCGATATAGCTCCTGTCTGGTGGCAAGTACCCGGCTCAATACAGTCACTATGCATACAATATGAGCGCGCGCGCGCACGCGTGTGTGTGTGTACCTGTGAACGTACGTCAGCGTATTGTAGCCGCACACATATTCAGATCTACGCTGTTATATTGGCAATGGCACGAGCGCGCAGTGATAGCTCATGCTCCCGTCTCATGCTGTCGTTCGCATGCTACTGCCGCCCCGCGGAACATGATGCACGGACGAAGTGTTCACGCGAATCATCGAGTCTGATCATCGCAGCCGAAAATTCCTGTCTACTGCTGATGCCGTCGTCCTCTCCGCGCGTCTTGCGGCTGCCGCACCAGCGTGAATCTAATTCGAACCGATTTCGATTTGCGGCCAGCACGACACAACACCTCATCAGCGCACTCGGGGTGGGCGGTGGTGCATGCGATACACGCGTTGGGGTCCGCACACGCTCACAGGCACCGAGGAGTATGCATGCAGTGCTCTAGCTCCTGTCGCCAGGCAGCAGCCCCGTTATGGCTGATCGTACCACGTGCATCCGCGTGTTATGTTGGGGTGCATCCGTTCGTAACCGTCAGCGATCGCCGACAGCACGGACGCGCATATACAAGTACAAACATACACAGCAGTGTAAACTAGACAGCCGCGCTAGGTCTGTGCATGTATGTGTAGGTTCGTGTGTACTTTCAACTGTTCAATTATCTAGCGGGACCCGCGCTCGTTTACTTTACCTTATAGCAAGGTGCGAGCTATTATTACTCACGCAAACAGTGGGGTTGCTGCGGCTCATAAACGTGCATTTACGTGTGCGGCAGGTCGCCGCCATGATAACTACTGCCAATCAGGAATCCGACTATATGGCGAATCATTATATGCCTTCGTTAGGTGGAAATACCACACGGCTCTATAGGCTTTCATGCACTGTAGGCGATTGCGATAGGAGTCCGTAGTGCACGTCTTTTGTAAGACGGCAGAGTGCCTCTTTACACGCGCAAAGGTGCAAAAATACATTATAACACCTATCTTTGTATACTACAAGGCGCTCCCCTCTCTCATCTGCCACCTGTCCCTCTCGTCTCTTTGTCATGATGTGTGTGTGTGTGTGTGTGTGTGTGTGTGTGTGTGTGTGTGTGTGTGTGTGTGTGTGTGTGTGTGTGTGTGTGTGTGTGTGTGAGTGCCTGAGCATGTGCGCTTGCGTGCGTGCGTGTGTGCGCGATTGTTTGTAGCACTAATTAAAATTTAATGGCTTTACCTTATGATGTGTGTGTGTGTGTGTGTGTGTGGGTGTGCTTGCGTGCGTGCGTGTGTGCGCGATTGTGTGTAGCACTAATTAAAATTTCATGGCTTACCTTATGATGTGTGTGTGTGTGTGTGTGTGTGTGTGTGTGTGTGTGTGCGTGTGCGTGTGCGTGTGTATGTGTATGTGTATGTGTGTGTGCGTGTGTGTGTTTGTGTGTGTGCGCGCGCGTGTATGTGTGTGTACACTCTAAAAACAGATTGGTTGTTTTACCAACCAATCTTGTTGGTCAAGCCAATATTAGTTAGATTAACCAATAAATTGGTTAGGACGTGACTAATCGGTTGGATATTGGGTAT